GCAGCAGCAGCAGCAGCAGCAGCAGCAGCAGCAGCAGCAGCAGCAGCAGCAGCAGCAGCAGCAGCAGCAGCAGCAGCAGCAGCAGCAGCAGCAGCAGCAGCAGCAGCAGCAGCAGCAGCAGCAGCAGCAGCAGCAGCAGCAGCAGCAGCAGCAGCAGCAGCAGCAGCAGCAGCAGCAGCAGCAGCAGCAGCAGCAGCAGCAGCAGCAGCAGCAGCAGCAGCAGCAGCAGCAGCAGCAGCAGCAGCAGCAGCAGCAGCAGCAGCAGCAGCAGCAGCAGCAGCAGCAGCAGCAGCAGCAGCAGCAGCAGCAGCAGCAGCAGCAGCAGCAGCAGCAGCAGCAGCAGCAGCAGCAGCAGCAGCAGCAGCAGCAGCAGCAGCAGCAGCAGCAGCAGCAGCAGCAGCAGCAGCAGCAGCAGCAGCAGCAGCAGCAGCAGCAGCAGCAGCAGCAGCAGCAGCAGCAGCAGCAGCAGCAGCAGCAGCAGCAGCAGCAGCAGCAGCAGCAGCAGCAGCAGCAGCAGCAGCAGCAGCAGCAGCAGCAGCAGCAGCAGCAGCAGCAGCAGCAGCAGCAGCAGCAGCAGCAGCAGCAGCAGCAGCAGCAGCAGCAGCAGCAGCAGCAGCAGCAGCAGCAGCAGCAGCAGCAGCAGCAGCAGCAGCAGCAGCAGCACACCCATATGACGTACACGTCACATTGCCATATTTTACCAGCTCCTCCGGTCTACTCTCCCGTGCATTATTTAAAAATCTCGGCTCCCTTCTGCCAATCGCAAAGCCGAATGTGTCGAATCAGGCCAGCACACGACTATGGATAATAAAATGGATTATGGAATAAGGAAAAGGGGCTGCTACTGGCAGCTACGGCCGCCGCCGCCGCCGCCGCCGCCGCCGCTTTGGCCACGTTCGTACTTCCTAGCTTCGTGTGGACTCGGCGCTCGGGCTCGCAAGACTTGCTCCAATTGAAAACAACGTGGCAGCATGCGCCGCAGCATTTTGTACATTTCTCTTGTCAGTTAAAGGGTGGCTTGGCATTTCGCATATGTGTCGTCAAGGTCCCAGGGCAACGGAATTTCAGGCGAATACGTTGTCGCGGAGAAGCGAGGTTATTTGTCATTTTTGTAGCACGAGAGCGCGTTTGTGCCGCCGTCTTGTCGTCTGGCGATCCGTGTACGGCTCGTCGAGTTAATTAATCGATGTGTTATTTATTCTCGACTCGCGGCATGGGAAGAGCAACGACGTCGGCAACGCGATCGCGCGTATTTCTTTTGCCTAGACAGATATTTCCTTAATTGTGTATTGTTTTTTCCACTTCGTAGCTTAAGGCCATAGTGTGTACATTATTTGCAGCTTGCGGCGAGAATATTGTCAGGATTGGGTGATTGTTAATTGCATTCGAGTATCACCAAGTCTCGCCAAAAGAGTAATAGGAGAAATTTATGATGAAGCGAAGATCGGAGGACGCGAATGTTCTTGAAGAGTCTGGAGAAGCAAATGGAGTTGTGGTAGAGCGAGGCAGTATTAAAGGTGATGAAAACAATATTGCTATATTGTTATTTTTATATTTGTGTCAAGGAATACCATTGGGTCTTTGTAGCTCGATTCCCATGCTTCTTCAGAACCATAGAGTATCGTATAAACAGCAGGTATGTGGGGATGCTTTGGCAGCTGTTGGACGATGGTAGACGACAAGACAGATTAATTTTTTTATCCTTCAATTTGCTTTTCAGGCTGAATTCAGTTTCGTAACATGGCCTTTCTCGTTGAAGCTATTGTGGGCGCCGATAGTAGATTCGGTATTTATTACGAGATTCGGTAGAAGGAAAACGTGGCTATTGCCAATTCAATATTTAATGGGTCTTTTTATGTTGTATTTGTCGAATCATGTGGATCGTTGGTTGGGCAACGAAGATGGAAGCGAATTGAACATTGGATTGTTGACCGCTTTGTTTTTTGCTTTAAACGTTCTTGCTGCGACTCAAGATATAGTAGTCGACGGTTGGGCGCTCACCATGTTTAAGCGGTAAGCATCTTGTTTCACATGCAATTATCATCGTTACATTTTGTAATATAACTAAAACGCTCCAACTTTAATGCACTTATTGCAGTTGTAACGTTGGTTATGCTTCGACTTGTAATAGCATTGGGCAAACGGCTGGTTTCTTCCTTGGATATGTATTGTTTATGGCTCTAGAATCGCCAGCATTTTGTAATACATATTTAAGATCAGTGCCTTCGAATACGGGTATCGTTACATTTCCCGGTAAGTATATTTAATGGAATAACCGAAAGTGTAGTTTAACGTTGTTAGTGAGATTTTATAATCTTAAAATGTATTAAATCATTGAGTGAGGAGAAGGTTGTTACAAAAGATATTTCTGATTAATCTATTGCATCGAAAATGTTCGATGTCACATTAATTGATTTGCGACTTTAAAGAATAATATGCCTTAATACTTTGCAAAGTATTAAAATTAAGCATTGTAAAATGAAAGGACATACTTTGGGATTATTTAAAATATATAAATTGTCTTATTTGTAAAATATTTGCAATTGTGTAAACAAATTTGTTTTCCAGGATTTTTATACTTTTGGGGTTATGTATTTATTATTGTAACTACTCTTATTGGAATATTCAAACGTGAAAATACCGAAAATATTCCAAAAAGTGAAAATATGAACATAAAAAAGGCTTATGAGTTGCTTTGGAGAACTATGAAATTACCCAATATTAAGCAAATGATACTGATTTTACTCACTGCCAAGGTACAATCATAATATATTGAACACTCATCTTTCGAGGCAAGTTCCTGGCAAATTGTTTAATTCATAAATTTTGTGCAGATTGGTTTTGCAGCGAGCGATACGGTAACTGGCTTAAAAATGGTCGAAGCTGGAATTCCAAAAGAAAAGTTTGCTCTTATGGCTGTACCAATGATACCGTTACAAATAATCTTACCGGTCTTTATATCCAAGTATACCGTAGGATCCCAACCGATGAATATTTACTTAAAAGCCATTCCATACAGGTTGCTAAACATATTTAAATCCAGCTGCTTGTAGCTTTGTTAAATTTACACTAACGTTATTATTAATTTTAGACTGCTATTTGGTTTGGTCGCTGCATTTTTAGTTTGGATTACTCCATATTTTATAAGAAATGGCGAAGTACCTGTATATTATTTTATATTACTAGTGATATTGTATTTTCTTCATCAGGTTCGTGAAGGATGAATTATTTTTTGAAAAAGTTGATAAATTTGTAGAATTTTACATTTCATTTTTAGATTTGCGCGAGTTGTATGTTTGTTGCATCGATGGCATTTTTTGCCAGGATTAGCGATCCAGCAGTTGGTGGAACTTATATGACATTTCTGAATACATTATGTAATCTTGGAGGAAATTGGCCAGCTACAGCGGCCCTATATTTTGTCGATACACTTACGTTTAAGCAATGTAAAGAGTATATTGTCAATAACTGCGGTGGAGGTGAAGAAAACGAGGTAAGTAATAATCTGTCAATTGGGGCTTTGTAGGCCAATTTGTAGGAATAATTTCGTTGTAAAGCAGCTTAAGATGGTAAACCTTGAAAAGCGTTTTTGGGCAAAGAAATTAACAGTGAATTTCATGGGGAGAAAAAAATGATAATTTGAAGATAAATAAAAATTTCAAAATTATAATATATATATTTTTCCTATTGTGATGTTATTCCACAATTATGGCTATTAATTCAAAATTTCGAATGATATTTAATGCATAAAAAAGCATGCGATAGCATATTTCTTATTAAATTACTTTTTTTTTCTGCTTTTAGACGTGTATGAACGTAAATAAAGTATGTCATACACAGTTGGATGGCTACTACATAGAGAGTTTTCTTTGTATAATCATTGGCTTCCTCTGGCTCCGGTGGGGAAAAAATATAATACGAAATTTGCAGAACAAGCCAGCAAGTACTTGGAAAGTAGTACAACAGAAAAATTAGGTCATATAAATAAAACAATGACAAAAAAAAAAAAAAAAAACAAACAAACAAACAAACAAAAACACAAACAAAAACAAAAAAAAAAAAAAAACTAGAAATCAACATTTTTTATCATTTTAATATCTGTTGAATGCTGTTTCATATTGGAAACAATATAATTTTGTATATACATCACATTGTGTATCGAGTATGTGGGCATTTCCAGATACAAGATTATTTGAAAGCTGGAAAAGTTTTTCAAAAAATCTACATTTGTAACAGTGGAAGTCTTTTGGTATATATAAAATCTTCCAATGAATATTGTTTATGTTGTTGAAGATTTTCTTAGCGCATTACAAATGTTGTAAATAATTATGCCATAGTTAAATGGAAATGAGATATTATCATAAGATATCTATTTATTCTAGGCGGAATAATTTATAAAAATATTACATGAAAGCCTGTTAAAATACTTCCAAAAAATGTAATATTAGTTTATTTACATTTTTTGGTTAAATTTTTATCGATGGTAGATTATTATAAATATTTATAATTGGTACTATTATTTAATAATGTGCTACCAATTTTTCTATAACACAGATGTTATTCTACAATGAAAAGATTGTCAGCTTTAAAATTATTATTTTTTCATATTATTAATGCTATTATTATATAAAAAACAATTAATATTTCGTAATTTTAAATTTAAATTTAAATTAAAGTATACAAATAGGATTTTAAACCATGTCCTAAATGATTATTAGAGCGAATTTTCGTTTACACGTTAGAAAAATTAGTTTTTAATAATTGTTATCTAAGATAAATTGTAGTATAAAATTAATTAAATGTACAATTGAAAGACTGCTTCAAGGAATTATTCTTTAACGAATGTATTTGCTTAAACCGCTTTTAAACGTCGTAATTGTCATTAAATAGATTAATTTTCTAAAAGTAAGAAATTTCTAAAATTGATAATCGAAAATTGATGGGGGCAAATTTGTTTGTAATAAATTTTGAAATCGTCATAATTGAAGTTGTAATCGATTAGTACAAAAGTATTAATTTATGAAATTAAGGACATTAATCCTTTTGTATTTAATGTTTACATTTTCATAATAAGTAAAGAAAGAAAATGTTATTTAAATATTCCAATAAATGATTTTTTTTTTTTTTTTTTTTTTTCTTTTGTAATATTTATATGAAAATATCATTGTGAGAATGGAATCGAAAATATTCCATTTTTTTTCGACTGTAATAGCAAAATAAATGATAATATATTATTTTTGTGATACTTTTCAAGATAAATAAACGTGAGTGATAAAAATGATTGAATAAACCATATAATATTGTTATAAATTTATTGTGACAAAGTTCTGACAAATATTTATTTCCATTATAATAAAATTAATCAACCAGATTATTTCACACGTAATAAACAATTTTTTTTATTCAAAAGGTGGCGAGATTTTGTTGTACCTCGCGTCAATCAACATTGGTGAATTAATTGCGCGGAAATTAAAACTTGGAAACGTAAAATACCAATATTGACGAAATCGCTGGATCGCTGATGGTATATAGACGATAAAAACGCCGAATTACGAAAGTTTATGATTCGCACTAATGTACGCGAAAATTGATAATATCGGAAGGATTCATTTGTTTGTAAAAGAAGAAGGTTGAAGACATTACGCAAGATCGTGGGATAACGAATGGACGGCAATGCTAAAAATTCGATAAAATTGAAAAACAACAGAAAAAGTAGTAGCAGGGATGAGTTTACGGCTCTACATTAAAAGGGTATATATTGAATTTTTTTGGCATTGATCTCGGCTTGAGGAGTCGCGAGTTCATCAGCCGCCACACTGTTTATAAGCATAGTCAGTCATGACACGTTCGTTGTTCGGTTTGGCGGAGCGAGTGCTGGACCGAGCAGCAAGTGGGAAAAATTCTCGGAAGTGCAGGTGTAGTGTAGGGGAGGGCACGAAAGATCGGAAG